CCTCCCTCCCTCCCTCCCTCCCTCTCCCTCTCTCTCTCTCTCTTTCTCTCTCTCTCTCTCTGTGTGTGTGTGTGCATGAGTATGGTGCCCAAGGAAGCCAGAATATGATGTTGTAGCCCCTGTGGTGTCTGGAAAACATTGTTTCAATGTAGTCATTCACCACCGCTGGTTCTTATAGTTTTTCTGCCCCCTCTTCCATGACTGTGGGCACCTTCATCTTGGGAGGAGGATATGATATAAATTTAGTGATTGCTTTGGCGGCACATATGTAAAATTGGAACAACACAGAGATTAACATGGTCCCTGTGCAAGGATGACACTCAGATTCATGAATTACTCCACACTCTTCCCTCACATTGAAGTTATCTCCAGTTGATACTCACTTGCAAATGATAAATACATTTTCTCCAAAGGGAGTCTCACTGGAAAACCAAACAACTCTTAAGGATAGGCCCTATGCCCAGCAATAGATGGCCAACACGAAACAAACTCAGAGGCATCTTTGGAGGTTCTTTGTTTCAGAACGTCGAGGCAAGGCTATTTATTTATTTATCATACAGGTCTTTTGTGTATATATTATGGCTTCCATTTTTGTGTTTTTATAGGATTTCTGTGCGTGAACATATGTGTCTCTGCATCTATATGTGTTTCTTGTGTTTTTTCTTTGGCTCTTTTCCGTTTCTTTGTTTTGTCCTATTCTGATTTGTTTTTGTTTTATCTTATTTTAGTGTCATTCCTTAGATGCCCATTTGTTTTCTAAGGAGGGTTTGGATTTGGATAGGAAGGGATATTGGGAGGAACTGGGAGGACTGGGGAAATTGTAATCAGAATATATCGTATAAAACATTTTCGATCCAAAAGAGAACTACATTCTTAGAAACATCTTAAATATTATTCAGTTTTTTTTTCAAAATAATGATCATGGGGTAGTTCAATTGGATTAAAACATAATTAAACTTAATAGTGTTTTCTAGCTGTAGTTTTTATTTAATGGTGATTCTGTTTTTTTCTAACATTGTCTATTTTTCCATTGATATCATACTTAATATATTTTTATCACTTTTGCCTATTCATAAAATATTTTCTTTGCTGAGATAAAAAATTCCCATTTAAGGTTGAGCATTCCATAGCCTCTTGTTCTTTGCAGGTTGACCAGTTGTGGGTGTCCATGTTAGTTGCTGTTTACTACAAGAATACACTTCCTTGATGAGGGCTGAGAAAAGCATTAATATATGGCTGTATCACCAAGCCATTTGGAATTGTTTTAATACAATGATCATTTACCAGAGTAATAGTGGTAGGTTCTTCCCTAAGGTCTATGACATATCTGTGCATAGGGTTTTGGCCCCATTAATAATGTCAAATATTGGTTTCATCTTATGGGACAATTCTTAAATCCAACCAGAAAGTGTGTGGTCACTCCTATAACATCTGTGCCACCATTGTATCAGCAGGCATATATTACCAGGACAGTTGTTATTGTAACTTATAAGGTTCACTCTGAGAGAGACTGATGCTGACTTTCCTCTTCTAGTAGTGTGCACAGCACCTTCCAGCTATGAAAAGCTAGCCGGTATGGATCAAGTTCCCAGGTTAGCACCAGCTTTATTTCTCCACATTCTATGATTCAAGTATATGACATCCTCAGCAATAGGATCTTACTGTAATATTCTGGAGGGTAGCCAATAACATTAAGAATAGTCTATTGGAAACTTACTGGCCAATAAATCCAATAGAAGTAACCCATTCCCAGCCCTGGGCTTTTTCTTTGTTCTCCTGTGATGTCTAGTAGAGGCAGTGTTGCTCTGTTATAGGGTAATTCAATTTAAACTCTTCTTATATGTATATACTTTAGAAATCGACTATAGTGGTAGGTCCCCATATGACTTTTCAAAAGGTCTTTAGTGTTAGTTATCCTGCCCCATACATTTCTTCCTTTACTCTTCCCTCCCCTCCCATTTAAACTATCTTCTTCCATGACCCCCTCTCCCCTCCTTAGATTATTATATCTTCTAGTTTCTCTCTGTTGAAAGCCCCGGTCCCTCAGTCCCAGGTCTTTTACTAGTTATCTGATTTTCTTATAGCCCAGACCAGTTGTTTCTTAGCTGCCCTAGAGATATTGATAAAGATTAATGATCCTGCAAATAGGTGTTTAAAATAAATAAAAAAATAAGATGAAAACATAGTTGAGGGAGAAGCTACAGCAGGTTAATAAATGAGGTGTTCGAAGGCAAGTGCCTCCAAGATTATTTTAGCAATTAGCGGGAAGCGTTTTGTCACAAACAAAATAAATCTGTAATCAGAAAATAATTTGTAATCAGCTTTGCAAGTCAAATGGCTCTCCTAGTCGTCAAAGGCAGCTTGAGAATGAAATGATCCAGTCAAGAATGATACTTTCAGGGGATAAATGGTCAGGACAGATTGTCTAGGCGATTAGTCAATAGTTAGGTGCTGGACTTGTGTAAGAAAGCTCTCTAAGGCTGAGCCTGCTTGTGTTGCCAGCCAGCAGTGATCCAACAGGGAGGATATTGCAGGAAGTAAACCCCCCCCCCGCCAAAAAAAAAGAAGCTGTCTAACCACACCAGGATCAGCAAAAACTCTGTGGCAAATGCTTCCTGGAATTCAGCCAGTGTACACAGGAAAAACTTTGCAAGCCTGATGTAAGGGGTTGGGGGTATACCTTGGTGGTAGAATGTTTGCCTAGGATCCCCTAATGAGGGGTTGGGACATGACTCAGCTCCACAACATTTACCTAGAATCCTTGTTTCTTGACATCTCACATAGCTGAATTATCTGGACAATCTTTCCTAAGCCTTCTTTAAAGACACTGAGAGAATGATAGAAGAGTGGGAAATAAGACCTGATCATTTTCCAGAAGCCCAACCCCAATTGACCAAGACCTCAGTGTACAGAAAAAGTGTTGTCCCTTCACCCCCAAGGGCAGACATGATTTTGACACATCATGTGGATTACTCTTTATGCACAGCTAACAAATGTTTTTAGGTGCTTCCAAGAACGTTGTCTTTGTTCTAGTTAGCTTTAACTGTCAACTTTACACAGCCTAGAGGCACCTAATAAAAGTAAATTACAACTGAGGAATTGTCTAGACCATATTGGCCTGTAAGCATGTCTGTGGAGGACTGCCTTGACTGTTAATTGATGCAGGAGGTCCCAGCCCACTGTGAGTGCCACCATTCCCTAGGCTGGTAGTCCTGGGCTGTATAAGAAAACCAGGTAGTCCTGAGCCTGCTTGTATGACAGCCAGAAGCATTCCCCTAATATTTAGGCCTCAAACTCCTTGAATTCTTGCCCAAATGTCTCTCAATGATGGACTGTGATCTGAAATTTTAAGCCAAATAAACTCTTTCCTCCTTTAAGTTACTTTTGGTTGTGATATTTGTCAGAGCAACAGAATGGAATAAGAACTGTCTTCAGCATGTATTGATATCTTTGGAGACCAAAATGAAGGGTGAGAGTGATTTCTGTAGATGAGCAGTCACTCAGGCAGACTCCATGGAGAAACAAGTTATCAATAATTTCCCTAAATGTAGCGATTGATCATATTTAGCTCCAAGGAAGCAAAATGAGTGTGCCTCTATCAGTCACTTTCTTTTTTTATCTGTAGATAAAATAGACAATGCAAATCAAAGGTGACATCTGGGCTGGAGAGATATTCAGTTAGTAAAGTGTTTGCTGTGCAAACTTGAGAACCTGAGTTCAAGCCCTCAAATCCATGTAAAAAGCTGGACAAGGTGATGTGCACTTGAAATCCTACAGCTGGAGACTTGGGGACAGGAGAATTCCTACGGATTTGTTGTCAGTCAACATAGCCTAATGGGCAAGCCTCAAATCTCAATGAGAGCCCCTGTCTCAAAATTCAAGGTGGATGGCACCTGAGGAATGACCCTGAAGTGTTGACCTCTGACCTCTGGTTTCCACACACAGCTACACACATGCATCCATGCACACACATGCACCCCAGACAAACACACACAGGTGCAGGTGCACGTGTGTGTGTGTGTGTGTTGTGTGTGTGTGTGTGTGAAGGCAGTGTATTCCCAGGAATTCACAGTATGCAGACTAAAGCCAAGATGATTCTTTCTTTCTTTATTTTTAGATTTGTTTATTTTATTTTATGTGGATGATTGTTTATGTGTGTCCTATGAGTGCCTGGTGTCCACCAAGGTCAGAAAAGGACTTTGGAGACCCTGGAATTGAAGTTATGGATGACTGTGAGCCACCACATGGATGTTGACAACTGAACCCAGGTCATCTGTAAGAGCACCAAGTACCCTTCACTGCTGAGCCATCTCCTCGGTCCTCAACCCAAGAAGACTTTAAAGGTAGTTCTTCTCAGTAAAGTTAGATGATGGGGAGCAGGTTGCTACTTGCACATTCACTAACATTTTCTCTCCCGATGTCTTAAATATTTAGAGCACTTGCTTAGGCTGAACAGATCTAAGAAATAAAATAGACTTATTTTAGTAAAGGCAATGCTGGGACATGCCCCGGTGTAGAACGTCCATTTCATAGTGTGTGTTGGAACAGAAAATAATGAATCTGGAAAGTCTTTGCTCTCTGGCTGAGGCTTCATTAATGATATTAGAATATTAAATATAATGGTCTTTCACATTCATTATCCTCGTGTTTGCTTGGAGCCCTTGTCTTCATGGAAGAACTGTGTCCAAGGCTGTCAATGATTAAGTGGATAAGACTGAGCCCAGAAAGCATGATCTTGGAGCTGGCTGTTTGCTTTGGATCTTAGTCACTACTTGGATGTTCCTTCTTTCCCTTATTTCATTTTGAAAGGGTTTGACTAACATCATTTACTAACTTTATTACTTTGACAGGTCAGAATTTATGTTCTACCCCAAGTCAATAAAAGCGAACTCATTCTCTGGTGCATTAGACCTAATTCCTCTTATCTAGATCCATTTTGGTACTTACAGCCCATAACCGTTTATTATGGATTCCCAAATAATGGGAGAGGAAGAGTTTCGAGGTTCATGTCAGGGAGAAACGGATTGCTCCAATTTGACCATTACCCACTCTGGGTGCGTATCGAGTGCTCGTACTTTACTCCACATGTAAGAACAAGTACATGTCCATTGAGAAAAATCTGGGTGAGGTTTGAGGTTTCAAGTGTGCAATCCTAGCATTTTGAATGTAGAGGCAGGAGGATTGGGAGCTTCAGGTTATTTGTGGCTGTACAGAAAATTTCAGCTTAGCTTGGGCTACATGAGACCCTATCTTAAAACAGGAATAGTACCACCGTCACCACCACCGCGACACCACCACCACCACCATCACTACTACCACCATCACCACCACTGCCGCCAGCACCATCA